AACTAAATGGGAACTCCTGTGGTTTTCATGAGGAGTTCCATGAAGTCCCAGCAAGTTCCATTAACTTTTAACTTCCAGTTTTTCCATAACGTTCCAGTAAAGTTCCATGATTGAGTTCGGGTCCAGTGAGTTCCATTTCGAAGACACACACTTTGACATTGGAACTCTCCCAGAGAAAGGACTCTCTGGAACAGAACAGAGACAATTCGGAGGCCCTGGGAGTTTCCCTCTTCCAGTACTGTTGTGGACTCTTCCTTGCTTTAGACAAAAACTACAAACAGATTCAAAGTCCTCGCTCATTGGTTTCAACTATCAGCTATCAGCTATCAGCTATCAGTTGTTTGTTCTTCGAACTTCGGATCCCCTCCTCCCGCGAATCCCGCGATCGATCGATGGCACAGCAGAACCTCGGAGCAGAGGACTGTGCCGTGACAGTCGCCAACCGATTCAGTTACATGGTCTCTTTTTTTTTCACTCAATTTGATTTATTTCGCGTACACTGCTTAAATAGTTGGTTTCTTCGTGCGGCCGCTTGCGTCTCTAGCCTCGTCTGATCTGCAGGCAGTTTGATCGACGTTCAGATGTTCATCACTCCTCACTCGCTCATTCTAACGGTCGGTGAATCTTTCATTCAGTGAATCGTTTAGCGAATTGTTTAGTGAAGCCTTCAGCGAGTCGATCATTGGCCGATGTCGACTCCTTGGTGATTTCACCCGTCACCGACTCGTATCTGCATTTGATAAAAAGCACGCCGGGCATTGCAACCGTGCCTTTTCCCGAGTATCGCTTCAAGACTTCCTCTTCTACTCTTGCACAAACAGCAAATCAACATAGAGCACAGAGGTCGCGGAAGATTCCGGGGAGAGAGAGAGAGAGAGAGAGAGAGAGAGAGAGCAGAAAGGGAGGGGGTGATCGAGTCATTCTACACACTCAGTCTGTCATTGAAGTTAATTTTTTATGTCGGAGAACTGGTAGCCAACAAGACAATAGATCGGCGTTCGATCCAACGGGGGCAGCAAGTTGCAATCAGCTGTGCAAGTCAGCCAGAGGGAGATAGAGAGATCATTCCCACACACACACACAGAGAGAGAGAGAGAGAGAGAGAGAGATGGAAAGATGGAGATATCATTGTGGGTTATTGACGACGGGGTTAGCGAGAGTGTTGAATCTCCTAGTGGTAGCTGGTGGCGCAGCGGCCATTGTGATGGTGTTTGTTCTGGAACACAAGCCCCGGTCTGCGGTAGCATTCGGTTTTATTGGTCTGGGTATTGTGGCCATCATTTCTGGAATTACTGGTGTGTGTGCCGCTTCTCGCACTTCGTGCTTCATCTGTCACTTGCTATTGGCTCTGTTGTCGGCCGCGGGGCTCGCGACATCTGCCCTGTGCATTTTCTTGCGTATGGACGAGGTCACGACGAGGGTGCACAGCCGGAAGATGTCGGGAGAAAATGTAAAGGATATCTTGAGGATCGAGGGAGGAGTTTTCGCGGGAATGTTGGTGCTAGTGGTGACGGGAATCGCATTGTCGATCATCATCAATTGTTGCGACCTGTTGAATTACAAGTACGAGGATCTGGAGATGGGGGACAGGAGGCGGGCCGATATGCAGAAAATCAGGCAGGACGCTAAGCGGAGCGTCGCGAGAGCGGCTCCCGTGAAATCGGCGGCTCTGGCGGAGAAAATGAGGGAGAAGTACGGCAAATTCGTCACCGCGGACGAGTTCTCCTCAAAGTGAAAGCACAGCCGCGAGAGAGAGAGAGAGAGAGAGAGAGAGAGAGAGAGAGAGAGAGAGAGAGAGAGAGAGGGCAGAACTCGTGACCGTCGACGAATTCTCTTTATGTAAACACAGAAGTTCGCACAGAGACGGATACACAGGCCGGCAAGCACACACACACAGAGAGAGAGAGAGAGAGAGAGAGAGAGAGAGAGAGAGAGAGAGAGAGAGAGAGAGAGAGAGAGAGAGAGAGAGAGAGCTGGACAGATACGTAGAAATGTAGATAATATGAGGTAGAAAAGGCCGACAGCAGATGAGTTCTCCGCCAAGTAAACACAGCCGATTCACAGCGAACCCATACATACGGACACACGCATGAAAAGAGAGAGAGAGAGAGAGAGAGAGAGAGAGAGAGAGAGAGGTGGACAGATACGTAGAAATGTAGATATGAGGTAGAAAAAGCCGACAGAGAAATCGATCGGCGGGTGAAGGAATCAACGAGAGTTCCTTGAGAGCGCGGGAGGAGATCGATCACACGGCCAGTCGATCATTTGTCCATCCATCTATGATCTATCATCGCCTTTCTCTGTCGCCCCGTCGAGGTTACACTTGTTCCCGTTTCATCTTCGTACGGTCTGGTAAGTCCGTTGTTTTGGATGCTGATTCATTGACACAATTTGACAGCCCCGTTGTTTTGGATCATGGTGATTCATTGACATCCCCCGTCTCCCCATTACATCTATCCACAAGCTCGTCGTTAGTTTGTGCTTTTGTCAAGTTCCAAAAGTCCAAGAGTGAGTGTGAGTACCGCAATAATCACGGTGACCCCGGAAGAGCGTCCTGCATTTTTTTTTTGGCATTTGCATTTCGTCCTCCCTCGATTAGAAAATGCAGTATGAACTTTAGATGCTTCCCCCCCCTTCCCCCCTCCCGGAAAACGATCGTTAATCGTGTTCCGTGTTCATGATGCCCTCCCCCACACACGTTTCATTTCACTGCATACCGATGTTTCATCTAACAGCGACTTCTTGTCAACTCTTCTCTCTCGCTTTCTTTCCATCTCTCTCTCTCTCTCTCTCTCTCTCTCTCTCTCTCTCTCTCTCTCTCTCTCTCTCTCTCTC